AAACATTTAGGAACTAGAGGAAAGTTGTATTTTTCATCATTGCTACATCACACCCTGACTGGCTCATCTCCTCCCCGGAATCCTGTTGGTTTCTGTTGGAACAAAGTCACACTCGTGACTCATATTACCTATAGTTGCCTTTGTACTGCAAGAGCAGAGTTTACTAGTTGCAACCGAGATGGTCTGGCTCATAAAGCAGAAGATATTTTCTGGCTTGCTCTTTTATACCAGGAAGGTCCACACAATAAGTTAATAGCAAATCCAGAACCATTTTCCAGGTCTACTAACTCCCAGGGAAGTTGTTTTTCCATTAAACCCAATTCTCTCTAAACAAAAGGAAAGGTCCCCAAATGGTAATGTGAGCTTATTAATGCAAGCCAAGATAATGGCAAAGATGGTAAGAATATTACCATTTAGAAAAATATTCACCACCTGAAATGGTCTGAAGTCCTCAATTAACCCAGCACTCCCCCTGTTTTCCCAGCCTCTTCAGAAAGCAGACTCCAATTCAGGAAAACAACAAACATCAGGGTCAAACCTTTATTGTGTATTTGTAGGCCTGCTCCGCTTCCAGTTGCCTTCCAGCCTGGAAGAAAAAAAAAGCAGCAGCTGGTGATGATGATTTCATCAACATTATGGTGGGTAAATATACTGCTTAGGCATGACTACTAAAGTCAAAGGATCCCATGCCTTCTCAGTTAACAACCTCTGAATTCAGCGAGGAAGTAAGAAAATGAGAGGGAATAGGGAAAACAGATATTTTAATGTTTAATTTTTTTCCCTTTTCATTTCAAAAACAAAGGCAGCTCTGCTGAAACATGCTCATCACATTTGGACAGCTTTCAGACTAAGAAAGAGGAACAAACAGATTATTTATGAAAAGTTAACTGCTGAAAACTTTAGGAATAACCTTGCTTGATATGGTGCCAGAAGAACCTTTCCGTTTGGAAGTTCCTCACAATACACCTGGAGAAGAGCTGCTCCACAGAGTAGAGTTGACTGGAGTGATGTGGGCGGAGCAAGCACGATGCCTAGTGAGGAGACTCAGTGGCTAAGATCCATTAATAATGAAGGCATGGCGTGTGAGTCCAGGACAACAAAATGGGATGCAGAAGGATCAATGTCCTACTGAAATGGACTGGTATTGGCCATGTTGAATCAGGCAGGCATGGTTTCTTCTGTCAGGAAGGACACATTCAAGAGGAATCGTGTCACAGTCATCATCGAAAAGGACATTTCAAGATCTAGCATGAAGTACAATGTTGCCTATGATAGGATAATATCTATATGCCTACAAGGAAGGCATATAATAATAGTTAATACAACTATTATTCAGATGTATATACAACAATTAAAGCCAGTAATGAAGAAGTTGAATCTTATCAGCCTCTTCTGTCTAAAATAGATCAAGTATGCAATGAAGATACATTGATAATTACTAGTGATTGAAATGCAAAAGTTGGAAACAGCAGGAATATAAGTAGTTGGAATATAAGGCCTTGGTGATAGAACTGAAGCTAGATATAGAAGGATAGAATTTTGCACAACTAGTGACTTCTTTATTGAAAATACCTGAGATAGTTAAAGTTTATTTGGTCATCCTGGCCGATAAACACATGTGGGGTTAATTGAAGGATGGAGCGATAAATGGTTCGGTAAGCCTCGCCTTTCTAGTTCTCAGGTCTCTTGCTTTGTGATGGTCAGACCAGGTGCAGCTGCCTTAACCAGTTCCCTGCTTCAGCTGGCAAGGTTCACTTCCTGCAGGACATCCCAAAGAAGAAGCCACATGGACCTACCCCGATGCAGCCCAGGGTGCTGAAGCAGCCGTGTGGAGACCCCTGTCAGCACTGAGATGCTTACGTGTTCACTAATTCAGCTTTCCTTCTGCAGTCAGCATCATTGCGTGTATTTTGTGAGATGGAGGAGGACTTTGTGGATTGGTGTCGGACATATGGGTTAATGGGTTGATGTTGGACTCGTGGGCTTGGGCAGCACTGGGTTGGGATGCTTTCTGAAGTGCACTTAACCTTTATATAAAACTCTCTCTTAGACATGAGTTTCTGTGGATTTGTTTCTCTGAAGTACCCAGAGTAACACAATACCTTTTCAATAATATAACATGAGTGGAGCCTTAGTGGTGCTGTAGCATAAGCATTGGGCTAATAATCGTGAGGCCGGCTGTTGGAACCTACCAGCTGCTCTGCAGGAGAAAGATCGTGCTGTCTGCACCTAGTGAAGATCCGTAGCCTGAGTCCCTAGCTAGGGTTGCCGCGAGTCAGAATCTACTCAATGGCAGTGGTTTGGTTTGGATGTACATATGGGCCTTGCCAGGGGGAATACACAGGGATCAAATTGACTACATCTGTGGGGAGAAACAATCGAGAATCTCAGGACAAGAAGCCAAAACGAGGCTAGGGGCCAACTGTAAAACAGACCCTCAGTTGCTCATATGCACATTGAAGCTGGAGAAAACACGTTCATTACAGCCCAAACACGACTGAGCATATCACACCTGAAGGACACGGACTTGGTAAAGTAGACTGAGGATCTCATAACAGGGAAAGGCCTCCAACGAGATGGATGGACACAGTGGCGGCGGCAGTGGGCTCAAGCCTAGCAGCCCTGTGAGGATGGCGCAGGATGGGCAGTGCTCATTGCGTCGTACATGGGTCACTGTGAGTCAGAGCCACTTGAAGGCACCTAAGAACAGCAACGGCTCCAAGGGAGCCCTGGGGCATCGTGGTTAAAAGCTCAGTTGCTAGCCAAAGATTTGTAATTCAAGCCCACCAGTGGCTCCACAGGAGAAGTTGTGGCAATGTGCTTCTGTAAAAAGTTACAGCCTGGGAAAGCCTATGGGACACTTGTACTCTGTCCCATAGAGTTATTGATGACTCTCAGTGCACCTGGTGGCAACTGGTATGTGTTTCAATTGTTTACAGTGCTTTACATACATTAATTCTTAATTCTACAAACGATTGCATTGCTATTGATCTAACTTTTGTCCTTTCCCCTTTTTTTGTGGAGCCACATTTTAAGGATGAGGAAATAAAAGCAGAGAAGATAAATAATTTGCCAGGGTTATACAACTAATAAATGAAAGAGCAAGGTTTTTTAAAACAATACCATCTTTAACTATATTAAAGTTAAGCATATCACAAACTACTACAATGCCATCTCTAGGCAGCAGGGAGCAGGAAGCGATGATTCAGAAAGACTAGCAGAGCTTCTCTTTACTGGTACCTTGACTTTGCTTACATTTGGACACAAGATTGCTCTCGTGCTTAGAAACTCTTTTACGGACACACATCTTGATACATAATTTCTAAGCACATTCCAAGTAGAGGCTGCTCAGCCTTGGCCTCTCCTCTGTCATCAGTATAATAACCAAAATCTGGAGCTCATCAAACCCCAATTAGCATGACATTGACATTGAGGGGCACCCCACTTGTCTTTTGCTTACCTGACCCCTCAAAAGAAAGGGAATTGTGAGCGGGTAATGAGCACTCACTTTCAGGCAGACCAGAGCCAGATAGGCCCACACTTCCGCATTGTAGTTGTTCAGTGCGTTGGCTTCAGAGAGAGCATCCTCAGCCTCGGTGAGCTCTTCCAGCTTGACAGAAAAGGGACAAGTCAGCAACTCTGAAACCTCTTTGTCCAAGTCACAGTGGCCCACTGATGGTCCCAAAGTTTTCACCTTCAAAACTTAGAACAGTATTATTTCTTCAAACAAAATCTTATGTGATGGTCAATAAATGAACAAGGGAAATGTGGAATTGCTTTTAAAAACCAGGTAGGTGCTCTGCCTCCTAAATTCTCAGTTTATGCTTCCCAATCCCCACTTGTCTTCATCTAGGTCAGCGGGACCCCTGTGTAACCTGGAACTTCAGGGGCCAGGGCCAGGGCAGGGAAAACCACAGACATTTACTATCGTGTGAGCATCATTCAGGGATTATTTCCCCATAGACAATGAGCTATTAGATACATTTTTTTTTTTGACTGGGCAATGAGGCTTTATTTTGTTTACAAATGGAAAGAAGCAAAATAAAACTAGGAGCATTAAAACACACAGTTTTGACATACAAAAATATTGATCAGAATATATATGTTTGCATAAGCACATGTCAGTGTGTCCATGAATATATGAGGCAGTACCCCCCCCAAAAAAAAAATGGAACTTTTTTTCAAAGCTATGTATCTGAGTTTTTTGGTAAAACAACCTTATCACTTTCAAAGTACTCTCCATTACACTTAATATATTTGTCAAATCTATTATTTTATTCTTGGGAACATTTTTCAAATTCATCTGTTTGGATGGCTGACAACACCTCCCTCGTGTTTTCTTCTCCTCTTCTACATTATCAAATTGCTGTCCTTTCATGTCCCTCTTCATTCACAGAAACAAAAAGAAGGCGCACCGAGCAAGGTCAGGTGAGTAAGGTGTGTGGGGCAAGGGAAGCATGCTGTTTTTTGCCCCAAACTGGCACACTCAGATGACTGCATGAACCAGTGCATTTTCCTGGTGGCAAAATCAGTCCCCTGTCTGCCACAAATCAGACATTCTTGTCACACACTGTTATGCTATCTTTTCAGCTATTAGATACATTTTTTAATCTTTCCCTTTACATTGTAAACTTTCTTAAGGCGAAAGTACTATTTACCTGTCCTTTTTAAAAAACTTTTCTAGTTATCAATTCTTGTGAGCACAATCCTGAATAACATTCAGGGACTCTAGGACACTCCCTGAGTCCTGGACTACTTCCCACAACTACACTTGGTGAACCCTCCTAACGGGGTCCCTGGAAAAGAGTAAGGCACTCCCAGCCCACGGGCAGTCTTTGTTTGGGGTTTTGTTTGCTTGTTTGGGTGGAAGGTTTCTAGGGCCAAGGCAAGATGGGAAATGGCCTTGAACCAGGTCCATATCTGTCCACACTCCACATACTGATGGGTGAGTGACTTCGTGCCAGGCAGTCTGCTAGGTGCTAGAAATAAATATAGTTACCTTGCTCAGAGTTCACTTACAGATATGCAGAAAAATGTTTCATTAAAAGATCATTTTATTGGGGGCTCTTAAAACTATTACAGTCCATACATCGATTGCATCAGGCATGTTTGTACATATGTTGCCGTCCTTTTCTTTTCTAGAGTTACTTTCTATCGAGTCCTTGGTATCAGCTATTCTTTGTTCCCTCCCCCCACCTCAAGCCCCTTGATAAATTATAAATTTATAAATTATAAATTATTATTTTCATACACCAACTGCTGTCTCCCTTCCCCCATGGTTTCTGTTGTTCTTCCCCTTGGAGGGGGGGTGTGGTTATATGTTGATCATTGTGATTGGCTCCCCCTTCCTCCCCTGTTTTCCCCACCTTCCCCCTACCCTTCTGGTATAGATATTCCCACTCCTGTGCCTGGATTCTGTGTGTCATGAGCTTGCGCTCTATCTCTTATCTATACCTGTGTACATGTTCCGGTCTGGTCCAAAGTGAGAAGCAGCGCTGGGGTCACGATAGTGGGGGGTGAGGAAGCCTCAAGGAACCAGAGGAATATGTGTGTCATTGGTACTTTACTGTGCCCTGGTTGACTCATCCCTTCCTGTGACCCCTCTGTGGGTTTTTTTCCCCCATTGTCTACAGATGGGCTTTGAGTTCTGCTCTGACCCCCCTCGTTTTGTTTTGTAAAACAAAAATTTTAAATTCACATAAGCAGTTCTTATATAGCATAATTATTTCTATAAGAACACATATGGAAAGGGGAAGAAATAAAGAAAAGTAGGATTGTTTCCATGTTGAGTTTAAAGTGAATCTTGAAGAATGTGTAGAGGCTTGTTTAGCAGACAAGGTGAAGAAAGGCACCCCAGCTAGAACTATGCCATCCCAGGCATGGAGAGCTGAGAAAGCATGGGGACTCCGGAAACTCAGGAGTATGCCTGAAGAAAAGAGGGTGTGCATATGAGTCAGTTGGCTAGGTAGTTGGTTAGTTGAGGGAAATAAAGGAAATGATGAAACTAGAGAGTTAAGGAAAGATCAGATCAGATCAAAATTTGGGTTTTATTCTGAAACAAGGGGTCAACACTGAAGGGTTTTAAGTAGGGGAGTAATATCATCAGTTATATATATATTTTTCATGTTATATGTTTTAAATACTACTTTAATGACCGTGTGGGATCTGAATTGCAGACCATTTAGGAGGTGGTATAGATGGTTGTGTGTGTGTGTTTGTGTGTACAGACCCTTGGTGGCATTGTGGGTTACAAGTTAGGGTGCTACCCACCAGTCACTCCACAGGAGAAAGATGAGGCTTTCTGATCCCATAAAGACTTACAGCCTCCTCCCCCACATAAACGCTGAAGACGAATGTGTGCATAAGTAAGTGTGGTGAAGAAGGCTGATGGTGCCCGGCTATCGAGACCTATAGCATCTGGGGAC